AGTCGAGCAAAAATACGAGATGGTTGCAGTGAATCTGAGGCGGTACTACTACGCGGGTCACTGGCGAGTTGAGTGAAAATAGTGTGATGAGGCATGAATGAGTGTATGAAATGTAGAAATGAAATGCCACGTGTTCGACTTGGGTATTGGGCGTGAAGTTAAATTGAAATGTGCATGTGATTGGAAATTATATATATTTGAGACTAACCTGCAGATTATGCGTATCAAAAGCCAGGTAAGTGCAATTGTGTGCATGATGTGTTTATTGGGTGATATTATGTTTGGTCATGTCTGGAGGTACGTGTTAGCCTAGGTGGGGTTTAGGGTGTTACTTGCTGAGACGTGTCTCATGGTTGTTTCAACCAAACAATTTCAAAACCCCGGCCTGAACCATGAATCTTCCACCGCCGCCTCCTCAGCGTTTTGGAATACCGATGCACACCGACCATAACGTGGTAGAATACCCGATTGAGATCAAGGCTGATTCGGAGTCTGAAGAGGAGCAGGTTGCTCAAGGGGATTCAGACTCGGGTTCTGGGGAGTCGGACTCGGAGTGGACGCCATCCAGGGGGCGTAGGGGATAGTTAAGGGGTAGAGTGAAGGTTTTGAAGTGTCCCATTTTTGGAGTTAGGGTATGCCCAGGCTGCTGATCCTTTTTGTTATCGGTGGTATAAACTCTAGAAGTGTGGTGTGCATGTTTATTGTGGATTGTAAATGGTGTATTGTATAAGTTTGAATTGGTGATGGATGTATATATTCTCCCTGTTACCCCTCTTTAAGTATTGTCTGGGTGTATGTTACTTCCGCTAGTGCTTCATCTCTGATGTGTGGGGTTGGCGACATCTTGGGACGTCGCAATATTCGACCATAAAGGTAAGTCACGAGTTCGATGGGGTTCGGAGCGTGACATCCCAAGTTGAATTGGTATCAGAGCAAGGACAGCTCAATCTAAGTTGGTCGAAGCTTGGAGTGATAAGAAGCAGAGATCTTGGGGTAGTCATCTAGGGAGACCTTAGCGAGTCATAGGGTGGAATGAGCTACGTGTGCCTCCATACTGTTTGTTGTGATTGCTGAATGAATTGAGTGTTATAATGATTGGAATGCAGGTGCGTCTGGACCTAAGGTAAGTGCACAAATCTTATTGATTGTGGCCTTGTGCTGTTGTGAATAATTACCTGCTGAGTGAATTATTATGTTAATTGGCTGCCTAGGACTAGACTGGTATAGCTGGCCTAGGTCTCTAATTCCTGAGAGGAATTATAGCAGGTGGGTGAGTGATAGAAACCGTGAGGATGAGTTCGCGAGGTAGAGGAACCGGGGGTCCATCCAGTTCACGAGGCCGACCTGCAGGAGATCCGAGAATGGATGCGGTCATGAGGATCCTCGAGGAGATTGGTAGTCTGATAGCACGGCAGACTTAGGAACGAGCTGCCACTATTGCCCAAGCTGCCGAGGCCGCTGTGGCCGCCGCCAATAATAATAATGGGAATCAAGGGCAAGGGCAAGTGAATATGAATAGGCAGATGCATCAGCTAGTTGAGCAATTTTTGAAGTTAAAGCCCCCTAAGTTTGATGGTAGAGGCGATCTTGAGGTTGCATCGCTTTGGGTAGAGGAGTTGGAAAAAGCCTTTGAGGTATTAGGGTGCACCGAGGAAGAGAAAGTGACCTTGGAGGTATACCAACTCCAAGGCAATGCAAGTGATTGGTGGAAAGCCACCAGAGGAAGGGTGTTCCCTGTTGGTGCCGCCCAGACTTGGGCGATGTTTGTGGAAGTCTTTAATAGTAAGTATTTTTCTGAGAGTGCCAAGGAACAGAAATTAGCTGAGTTTATGAGGCTTCGTCAGGGATTGAGGACTGTGGATCAGTATGAGGCTGAGTTCACTCGGTTATCTAAGTTTGCCCCGAGGATGGTGGAGGACCCATTGGATAGAGCTCGGAGGTTCCGAGATGGTTTGAAGCCGGACCTTCGCAGCCAAATGATTTCACTGAATTTGAGGGATTATAATGAGATCTATGAGCGGGCTCAAGCGATTGAGCGTGACTTAGCGGATAGAGCCACTGCTTCTGGATTGAGATACGCTCTGGCTAGGGACAATCGTAATCTCGGGAAGAGACCGATGTCGGGGAATCAGCGTTTTATTCCTTCCTTTAAGAGAAACATCGGAAAGCCGAACCGTTATCAGGGTGCGGTGTGTCAGTTGTGTGGTGGACGACATGGGACTGGACCTTGTCCGAGTAGGAGTATTATATGCTATAGATGTGGCGGAGTGGGCCACCAAGTGAGGAATTGTCCCAATAACAGACAAGCTAGGTCGTCTGTGCTACCGCAACCGCCCCGAATTGGAAATCAAGTTGGAACTCCCTTACCAACGAACCAGAACAGACCACCGGCTCAAGGACGAGTGTATGCGATGGCTAGAAGGGAAGCTGAGAATGCGCCAGGCGTGGTCACAGGTATGGTCTCTCTCTGTGATTATGCTGCATATGCTTTATTCGATCCGGGGGCGTCACATTCGTTTGTGTCAGAACAGTTTGTTAAATTGACTGGTATGGAACCACAATTGCTTGACATTGTGTTATGTGTTACCACCCCATTGAATGATAAGGTGCTAATCTCGTTAGGGTGCCCGAATTGCAAGATTGTGATTGGTGATAGGGAGGAAAGGATAGATCTAGCGGTTTTAGTTATGTTTGATTTCGATGTGATTGTGGGTATGAATTGGTTAGTTAAGCAGAGGGCTGTTATGGATTGTAGTAGCAAAGTGATCCAATTTAATCCAGTAGGACATCCTAGATTCGAATTTGTAGGAAATCGAGGAGGAACCTCGATTCCCTAGATTTCGTCACTGGAAGAGACCAAGTTGTTGGACGAAGGGTGTCAAGGATTTTTAGCGGCAGTGGTTGATTCCACCATTGAGGAACCAAGGTTAGAGGACATAGCCGTGGTGTGCAACTTTCCCGATGTCTTTCCTTAGGAATTGTTGGGATTGCCACCTGAAAGAGAAGTGGAGTTTGTAATCGAGTTGGCCCCTGGGACTGAGCCAATCTCGAAGGCACCTTATAGAATGTCGTTGTCGGAGTTAAAGGAGTTAAAGGTGCAAATGCAGGAATTATTAGACAGAGGATTCATCCGTCCAAGTGCGTCTCCATGGGGAGCGCCAGTCTTATTTGTGAGGAAGAAGGATGGGTCACTAAGATTATGTATTGATTACCGGCAGTTAAATCAAGTGACGATTAAAAATAAATATCCCTTGCCGAGGATAGATGACCTGTTTGACCAGTTACAAGGGGCTTCGGTATTTTCTAAAATTGACTTAAGGACGGGATACCATCAATTGAGGATTAGGAAGGAGGACATACCGAAAACGGCATTCAGGACGAGATATGGATACTATGAATTTACGGTAATGCTGTTTGGGTTGACAAATGCCCCTGCTGCATTTATAGACTTAATGAATCGGGTGTTTAAGGAGTTTTTAGATCAATTTGTCATAGTCTTCATAGACGACATATTGGTGTACTTGAAGAGCCCGGAGGCGCATGAGTTTCATCTGAGTAAAGTTTTGCAGACTTTAAGAGAGAACGCACTGTATGCTCTGTTTAGTAAGTGCGAGTTCTGGCTCAATCGAGTATCATTTCTTGGACACGTGATCTCTGGGGGAGGAATCTCAGTAGATCCAACAAAGATTGAAGCTGTAATGAAGTGGCCGAGACCAACGACGGTAACAGAAGTTCGAAGCTTTTTGGGTTTGGCAGGATATTACTGACGCTTCGTGGAAGGGTTTTCGGCAATAGCAACACCGTTGACATATTTGTTTAAAAAGGAAACAAGGTTTGAATGGACCGACAAATGTGAAAGGAGCTTTCAAGAATTAAAACATAGATTGACGACGGCACCGGTGTTAACTATTCCATCAGGACCCGGAGGATATGAAATTTATAGCGACGCGTCGTTAAAAGGACTGGGGTGTGTACTCATGCAAAATGGACGAGTAGTGGCCTACGCATCAAGTCAGTTAAGACCGCATGAGTTGAACTACCCGACGCATGATTTGGAATTAGCCGCTATAGTATTCGCCCTTAAGATTTGGCGACATTATCTATGCGGAGAGAAATTCATATATATACAGATTATCAGAGCCTCAAATATCTGTTTTCTCAAAAGGCGTTAAATATGAGGCAGCGTCGTTGGATGGAATTGCTGAAAGATTATGATTGTGATATTTTGTATCATCCCGGAAAGGCTAACCGGATAGCGGATGCATTGAGTCGGAAGTCAAGCATCGCACACTTGATGGTCAAGGAATGGACCTTGTTGGAAAAAGTGCGAGACTCGAAATTTAGATTTGAAGTAAGTCAAGTCTCGAGTTTGCTAGCCACGCTAAGGATTGAACTAGAAATCCAGACTAAGATTAAAGCTTTATAATCTACGGATGAAGAAATTCAGAAGATTCTGGTGATGGATGTTACTAAGATTAAAGCTTTCTAGGATATGAAAGTTAGGGACGATAACAAATCCATCCCCAAAAAAAAATTTTAATTTAAAAAAAAACTTAATTTTTAGGTTCAGTCTAAATTTGCTCCGAACTTTTCTTTATCTAAAGAAAAAAACCCATTATTTTGTTGATGTGGATTTGTTATCGACGCTTGGGACTGGATCACGGGGTACATTTTTGAAAATAAATTAAATTTTGGTGATTTTTTTTATACAAAACAAAATTCGGGGCAAATTTGGGACTGGACTTAAAGTTTGGATTTTTTTCTAAGACAAAAAAAAGTTCGGGACAAATTTGGGATTGGAACTAAAGTTTGAGGTTTTTTTTAAGATAACAAAAAGTTCTGGGTAGATTTGGGACTTGACCTAAAATTGGGGTTTTTTCCGGAATTAGGCCAGCAAAACTAAGAACAATCCCTTCACAACATTTGGCGAATCTCCTTCAAAAGCAAATTATCCACTCCCACTCTCCACTTCATTTCTCATAGCCCAAAAACACTCTTCTCCAACTCCTTTATAAATTTGAACATCTCTTCCTCGCATAACCCTCTTCAACTCAGGAACACTCGATTCATCCTATCTTTTATAACTCAGAGAGAGAGAGAGAGAGAGAGAGAGAGAGAGAGAGAGAGAGAGAGAGAGAGAGAGAGAGAGAGAGAGAGTTTTACCGACTACACTTGCATGGAGATTATTATTTCCATCCTACCATACTTATTTCTTCTTCTCTCAGCACTCATTCTCTCATACCCACTAAAGCTAAAGAGGCAAAAGAAGCAGCTCAAAAGAATTGCTAAGCTACCTCCAGGTTCAATGGGTTGGCCTTTTATTGGAGAGACAATCCAACTCTATTCTCAAGACCCAAACATCTTCTTTGCAACAAAGCAGAAGAGGTTTAAACTCAGGCTTTCTTTCTTTTTCATTTTTGAATTCCTATTTTTCAGAATCCTTAAGAAACCATTAGAGAGATTATACAAAACTGAATTGATTTGGCCTCACATCTCACAGATATGGAGAAATATTCAAGACCCACATATTGGGTTGTCCCTGCGTTATGCTGGCGAGCCCAGAAGCGGCTAGGTTCGTGCTGGTGACTCATGCTCACTTGTTCAAGCCAACCTATCCCAAGAGCAAAGAAAAGATGATTGGGCCCAACGCTTTGTTCTTTCACCAAGGGGAGTACCACACGCGCATTCGAAAGCTGGTCCAGAGCTCGTTGTACCCAGAAGCAATCCGAAAGAAAGTCGCCAACATTGAGGCAGTAGCTGTTTCGGCATTGAAGTCTTGGGCCGGTGATCGGAAAGTGATCAACACCTTTCATGAAATGAAGAAGGTTTGAGTTTGTTTCCTTTTCTCTTTATTTCCCCTATCTCCCTCCCCCTCCCCCCCCCCCCCCACCACACAGGTTAGTTTAGACTTGTAGGATCTGAACATGTTTGGCTGTGTGATGTGCTTGTTTTCCCTTCTTTGGCTTATGTGCGTAGCATCAAGCCCAGTACTTTCTTTTCTTTTTTTGTCTTTTTATTTCTGTTCATTTAATAGATTACTTTTTGAGCTCATTTTTTATGGATTTATTTATTTTATATTCGTGAATTTCTTAAGTACTAGGTTTCTCCATTTTATCGTCACTACGTACATGCTTGCTTTGTCTTATTTTCGGATGTAAAGAGAATTACTTATTGACAAAAGTATATACGCAGTTCTCCTTCGAAGTTGGAGTTTTATCCATCTTTGGACACTTGGATGAGTATTACAAGCAAAAGCTGAAGGAGAACTATTGCATAGTGGAAAAGGGTTACAATTCTTTTCCCACAAAAATACCAGGAACCGCACATCACAAGGCCCTCTTGGTAAGCAATAATTCCTTCTTATACAGTCCTATGATGGCATGATATCTACCTTACTGTACTTTCAATTATTTTCCCATTTGTCTCTACCTATTTTCATAAAGCTAGGAGCACAAGTAGTACCTACCACTCTATTTCTTTCAATTTGGGGAATTCGGGTTTTCGTTAGATTTAGACAAATATGCTATCGACCTATTGAAACCGTTTGGTTGAAAAAATTTTCCACGGGAAAAATATGGACGAAAGGACTATTAATCTACTGTGCAGGCAGTGGAAAAGTACGCTTCTACCACACGCCTCACAATAAATGCGCGCACTTGCACGAAAACAGGACCAAATCACTACTCAATTAGCACTGCTAGTGCAGAAAATGCATGTAGTTGCACAACATCTGCGTTCGCTCCATAAATTCGTGCATATACAAAAGAAGAAAAGCCCCAAACGCTTCTCGTCGTGAAGGGGCCTTTTCCTCGTCAACTTATCAACTCCACACTTTTTGTTGCATTTTGCAGGCAAGAAAGAGGCTCGGGGAGATATTGGGGGAGATCATAAGGGAGAGGAAGGAGAAGAGGATAGTGGACAAGGACATGTTGGGCCAATTCATGAGCTTTGAGCTCGAGGACGACGAAGACCATGGTCGTTTGAGGGAGGACAAGGTGGTGGCCGATAATGTGGTCGGAGTGTTGTTCGCTGCGCAGGACACGACGGCCAGTGTGTTGACATGGATCCTCAAGTACCTCCATGATGACCCGAGGCTTCTGGAGGCTGTCAAGGTACGTATCTCCATGTGATGCTGTGACCACTTTTCCATCGGTGTGGGGCTTGTCTGCGGGCCCAGTTGGAATCGTAGTCTTTGATTTGAAAAGATGTTTGTTCTAGTCAGTTAGTGATTGTTTGGTATGTGATCTTGCATAGTGAATCCTTATTCTGTATGCAGTTAGTGTTAGTAGGTTAAATACCGCAAATTTTAATGTACGTGTACGATAAATATGCATTAGAACATAATTGATACCCTTAAAGGATATTCATCTTGCACACCCTATGTAGTTATAGGGTTGCCCTCCTAGAATTATGTCGTTTATGGATACCATTTTGAGAATTAGAGTCGAAAGTCTCGATCTCAAATGCATATAACTAAGTTCGGGATTTGATTAAATTTTCACTAATGTTATTAAGGAAAGGATGGCCCTCTAAGACAATTTTAACCCCTTTTTCAACAGGCAGAGCAAATGGCAATATTCAAGATGAATGGTGGAGGAAAGAGACCCTTGACATGGGCACAGACTAAGAATATGCCACTCACTTACAAGGTATGCACTGCTCAGATTCCTGAATCATTCCTATATTTCCACATATAGAATATTACTTACTAGCTTGTTTAATCATCATTATTTTCATTTTCGATTTAGTCGTTTGCTTTTGCTTATATGCTTTGGTGGAATCAGGTGGTACTGGAGAGTTTGAGGATCGCAAGCATCATATCTTTCACATTTAGGGAGGCAGTGGTTGATGTGGAATATAAAGGTAACAGAATTAAATTACAAGATATGGTCATTATCTACCAAGAATTTATGAGAATCTCTCTCTCTCTCTCTCTCTCTAAGCATGGTTCAATGCCATGCATTGCAGGATATCTGATTCCAAAGGGTTGGAAAGTGATGCCACTTTTCAGGAACATTCATCACAATCCTGAATTTTTCCCTGATCCACATATCTTCGATCCCTCTAGATTTGAGGTATGTATGTATGCATGTGTGTATGTATATACATAAAGCGAAATCAGGGTAGAGGATGAGCTATACCTAACTTGATGATTTTTTTTTAGTATTATTAAATAAGTAATATAGGAGGATGAAATTTTCTTGCAAAAGCTGATAAAATTAAGATAAAACTCCATTATTCTTTACACTACAAATTCAATTCCATTTTATTACCCTTATAGAAAGAGTAAACGCGCATCTACTTAAGGTTAACACTTGTATTTGCCGATGAAGCATGAACGAAAGTCAACTCTAACTTAAGTAGGCTCCGAATTTCACTAATCTGATCAATCATGCGAGTCATTTTCGCACTACTAGACTGAACATACAACCCTAATCAAATAACATCTTGATGACTAAACTAAGGGAACAAAAAATTGTCTTAGAAACCCTAATTTTACTTTTGTCAAAAGCTAATTCAAGAGTTTCCATTTATTTTGTGGTTGTGGGTGGATGCAGGTAGCTCCAAAACCCAATACATTCATGCCATTTGGCAGTGGAGTCCACTCTTGCCCAGGAAACGAACTCGCCAAGCTAGAGATACTCATATTGATCCATCATCTCATAACCAAATTCAGGTACTATAAACATTAAATTAATAATATTTATTTCTGGGTTTTTTTCCCAAAATCAAGAATTATTTCTTTTATACCTTCTTTTGACATCTATCTGCATATCATTGGTCTCTCTTTAATTAAATTATTTATTTATATTTTTTTGCAGGTGGGAAATCGTGGGTACTCAAAGTGGGATTCAGTATGGTCCATTCCCAGTCCCCCAACATGGACTCCCAATAAGAATATGGAAAGATTCGAGCAGTGAAGTACAAGATGGGTGCCCTTAATTGGAACATATATAGCCTACCGCCACTTTTCACTTGTCTGAACCATAATAAGTTCTTTCCTAACGAGTCCAATTTCCAATTATGAAAATCCACCCAACTTTTTTCCCGGGTGTCTAAAAAATTAAGAATTTTAAAGAATTATCGCAAGTCCGTATTACCCTAATGTAGCCAACTTAGCCGGTTAGCATCTGTCGGCTTATTTCCTTACTAATTCCGACATGTAGTATGTAGCCAATGTAATGTAAAGTTCAATCGAGTGGAACCTTTGGTTTCGCAACTAGAATCTTGGTCTCAAGTTTTTCCTTGTCAAATCTTGGTTAGTATTTCTTGCTCCATATCAAAAGCAAAGTATCAAGAAAGGAGAAACGCTAAAAGGGCAATCCTGTACTTATGGTTGGAGACTAAAGAGAGAGGAACCTTTTGATTCACTTCTTAATTTCAGCTCTTATTAATCTAACGTACACTGCTGCTCGAATCAATTAAACTTCCCATTTCACGATTTTCATGTTTTCTCACGACTCAAACAGCCTCCGACTGACATCCTTGTTGCCTCCGATCCCCATCTCTCTCCCTCTCTCTCTCTCTCTCTCTCTCTCTCTCTCTCTGTGGAAACTGCGCGTCACCATCGTGCATGCAAACTCTAGGTCTAGTCGGTCTCCATAATAACATCTTGTCAACTGACCGGAAGGACTATATTTAAATTTCGTGCAAAAGCTTAGAAGTAATTTTGTAAAATTAAAAAATTGGAAACTGAATTGATATTTATATAATAGATTGGGGATTGATTTAACAATTTTTCAAAAAATTTGGAGTTTTCTAGCCGGTGACAGAGCCTCCCAGTAAACAAAGGTACGCCCACTTCACGAAACAGATACACAAATCTATATATATGATCAAAGTTCACATCTTCTTTTCCATGGATTGTCTGCTATAATCCCATTGAATTACGGGAACATTGGAGGGGACATCTGCCAGGTGTCGTCGAATCTCACTTGGGCGGGTGCTGATTCGGTTCACATGGGGGGGGGGGGGGGGGGGGGGAGTTGGGTGGTAGGGGGGGCGGCTTGGGGGTGTCACTAGGAATGGCCATGGATGAGAAACGTGGTAGGGGGGGCGGCTTGGGGGTGTCACTAGGAATGGCCATGGATGAGAAACGTGTCGAACGACATATGATTGAAACATGAAGAAGAAGAGACCAGTAGGACTGTCCTTAGCTCGGAGGGCATGTCCAAAATGGCAAATTGAAAAAATTGAAGCCAAAGTGGCTTTGTCGGTGGTCCCACAAGTGTTTTTTTTAATATAATTTTATTTATATATTTCTTCATTTTCTCTTTTTTTGTTACAGAAATTATGTGATTTTGGGGGCGGTTGTGCAGAATTTATTTCTTTTCCGGAGACTTCCAACACTAGTAGTTTTCAGCTCCTGCTCGTGCTCTTACGAAATTCAGGAAGTCCCACTCTTCAAGGAAAAGAAAAGGTCGGCACACATCCAATTTCCGACCATGAATGGGACGATTCCATCGACAGTACATGGGGGGTCTCGAGACTTGATGCAGAGTTTTCAATGTCCAATCAAGACAGAAGTATGGAGCAAGATAGGTTTAGTATCAAGACCAGATCAGATAGCAAGTTTAGGTATGAGAAGCTAGAGAAATAAAGAAAAGAGACGGAAAATAGGAAAATGACATTATAAGTGCCATAATTTTGGTACAACGCTTATTTTGGTGTCAAAAATTTTCATCGAATCACTTGAGTGCCAAATAAAATAAAATAAAACAATCACTTAAGTACCTCCAATAATAAATTCTGACAAAAAGTCCCACTTGACTTTAATAATAAAATGTTTATTCAAACATGGCTTATATATATATATATATATATATATATATATATATATATATATATATATATATATATATATTCAAACATGGCTTTCATAACCATGTTTATTCAAACATGGTTATGAAAGAGATTTGGTCCTTCACCACTGCAGCTTCAGGAATTTTGTAATTTATATTCAACTTATTCCCGGATGCTGATTTGAGGGACTGGGAAGTTTTCTCAAAATATTTGATCGGTATAAGGCCTTCTTTTATGCAATTAAGGTCTGCACCTGTATCAAAAAGGACTGTTGTTTTCAAAACAAATTCATTTTGAACTTTTATAGAAATATTGATAATCCATTTTCTAGTGGTTATTTCAGAAAGCATCAAAAGGAAGTTTGTATCAGAAGAAGAAGGGAGTTGAGGAACATCATTTTCTTCGAAATCTTCTCCTTTTTGTTTCCCTTTTAAATTTTTCATTTTAATATCTAAAATGTCCTTTTGCATAATTATCTGAGTAGCTTTGAGATCTTGTATTTCTTGCTTTTGTTTATTGATCTCGTGAGTAAGATCACTTATAGAAATGTGTTTAAAACTCGCTTTCCTAGCTTTGCTAAGAATGGTAGAAATATTATAAGGATTATCGGATTGAATAACTGGTTTAGAAACTGGCTTGGGACTTTGGAAATTATTCAAATATTTTATTTTCGTTTCGGGATTAGTGATCTGGTCAATTGTTTGCAAAAGAATTTCTTCTTCTTTTGTCAAAACGTTTATTTCAAAACTGGTGGCTTCTTCATCTTCACTTTCTGAAGTCGATGATGAAGAGGTTTCCAAATCACAAACTTGTAATCATTTTTCAAAACTAGATTCATAAGAAGAACTACTATCAATCTCAGCCATTAATTGGTTGAGTTGATTAATAGTCTCTTCATCCAGATCTAACTCATTAACTTTTTTACTGACTTTACAAAATCGAGAAGTGTGGCCTTTTTTACCACAGTTATAGCAAGTGATGTTTTTAAAATTCCTTTTTGGTTTTTTGGTTTTATCAAAACTATCATTTTCTTTTCTTTTAGAAAACTTTTTATCGAATTCCTTTTATAAGGTTTTTTATAAGATTTCTTTTGATCTTTTTGTTTAGAAAGACATTTTCCTGAACACTTAGCTTTATCAAAGGATTCAAAAGATGGATCATATTGGGCACAAAAATCTCCTAATCCTTTTTTGGAAAGTTTTTGTTCCTTTTTGATCTGTTTTTTAAGACGAATGTTGGTACACAATTGTGTTCCTATCTTATAAACATAAGAGGTTAATTTATCATAAGAAAGATGGTCATATGGAATTTGATTTCCATATTCTTCTCTTATCTTATTGCGAACTTGTTCTCCTATGAGTTTTGGTAAACCAGCAAGAAATTTTTCTTTCCAAAAGGGTTGGTTACAATCCGTTCTTTGGAAAACTCTTTGTAGAAATATTTCTTTATATTCTCGGAATTCTCCTAAAGATCTGCATTTCATATTGGATAAAAGATCTTGGTTTTTATCAAGAATATGAGAAGAATCTCCTAGAAAATGTTGGGATAGAGAATATTAAAGTATTAACAGCATCTTGGATGGGTTGGTCATTTTCATCAATTATACTTTAGCCAAAAGGGTCAAGTTTATAGGCATTTAAAATCTGGGATCTTTGCTCATCATTCAGGTAGTTATCCCACCATCCTTTGAGCTGGCCTGTAAATCCGGCTATTAAAAGATATGCAACTGAATGGTCAGAAGTATCTGGAATGGTTTTATAAGTATTTGCAAGCATAACCATTTGGGTTAAAATATTTATAAGGTTTTGCTCAGAAACACCATCTATATTCCATTCATAAATTGCATTAGAAGAATATTTGTTTTGGACTTTTGAAAAAGTTTCTTCTGTGAGGATATCAGGAGGAGTGGCACGAGAATAATATAATTTTTGGGGATCCTTCCAAGTGATACGATTTACCTCAGGAATGGATTCAGTATCGGATTTATCTAAAAGATTGATCTGATTAGAAGGTTCAGAACGATCAGGAGTGTCCTTGACACTCAGGTTCTGTATTAAAGGAGTATCTAGAATCAAAGGATTTTTAGGAATTAAGACTGCTTTTCCTTTGAGGAGTTTCCTCCTGTCTTCTAAAGCTTTAGTAAATTCAAGACTAGGATTTTTTGGAATTACAAAATGTTTAAAGAGAGGTGGTTTTAAATCCTTTTTAGAGTTTAGTATTGAAGAGGATGGAAAACTGTTTTGAACATAAGTTTCTATTCTGTCTAATTGTTTTCCTATAGTATGAAGATGCTGATTTGAAAAATTATTTTGTTCAACAATTTTTTTAATTCCTATGCCATCTATTTCAGAAGCTGTTTTAAAAGGAGAAGCTACTATTTCAGTTTCTCGGTGTTCAAATTTTATTTTTCTAAGAGGAGGATGATTAGATTCGACAATTTGGCCATCGTCTAATCTCCATTTATAAACTGATCTAAAACAAGAATCTATTTTTCTTGTAGAAATTCATTTTCAAACCAATCAAAGAAGAATACTTGGACTTCATGTTGATACATGTAATCATAATATTCTTTTTTGATTTTAAGTGCTTGTTTTTTAAAATTCGCAAAGAACCATTCTCTGATTTGTTTGTTCTCAGAAGAATTGAATTCTTGATTTAAAAATATTTTATCAGGTTCAAAAACTGATTCCAAAACATTGATTTCAGGATCCTCCATTTTGGAAGGAGTTGGATCAGGGAAATCAGGAGTATGTTGGTAAGTTGGTCTGGAAATTCCTGACCTGCTATCAATTCCGCTGATGTTTGGAAGAGGGGGAGCACTTGCAGTTACTTTCTTAGGATTATTCAAAGGGATATTAGGAATAGTATCTACTGATCTTCGAGAAGAAGTGGAATGCCAAGAAGGAATTGATCTAATGTCACAAGACCTCCTAGGAATATCAACAGATCTTCTGGAAAATTGAATAGTTACTCTTCCTTCAGGGTGTTGAATAATATTGGTCGGATTAGAATTTTGAACGATTTGCTGGGGAATTCTGTTTTCTAATTCCCATTGATCAGGAAGGGTTATTTGATTCCAAGGAATGGTCCTAGGAATGGTAATATTTGCTTTAGAAATATCTGTTTGTAAAAGAAGGGTTTTTCTATTGGAATTTAATTTGAAAGCTTTGCTACCAAAAGCAGAATTCATTATCTTGTAATAAACTCTGTAGATAAGGGCTATAGGAATAGAACCTTCGGCTATGGAATAATTATGAATTTTTATTTGAAGAGTCAAAGATTTTAAAATATTTTTGTCTTTAAGAGAAATAGTGAGACCAGGATGACTATCAAAATGAATTGGTCCACTACAAAGACTTGTTTCTACGGCTCCGAGAATAGATTCATCATATTTTAGAAGTCTTGCATCTCTTAAAACAAGGAGCAAATAAGTATCTAATCCTTCTTTGATAAGGGGTTTTGCACCAACCTGTACCAAGCCTATATGCATGTAATTCCATTTCTGGGAACGTTTCTTTATGGAATCTTTATTCAAAAGTTGTATTGAAGCAAAAGAATTAGAAAGTGGCACATCTCTTTCTTCAGTAACAATGACATAATCATTGTGACCAAAGAGTTTAAATTTTGAATGTTCATAAA